TACTGTATCAGAAGCAGCAAGCGGGGAAGCAGGAGCCAGTGCTAGGGGGAAGCTGGCTTAAAAGCCATCCCCCCCATGCTGCTGCCTTTATCAGAGGCAGCCACAGGGGGTAGGGAGGAGCCTGCTGCTGCAAAGCAACCTCTGCCTGCAGCAGGCCCAGGCTCACCACAGGCAGGGGCTGCTTCACATCCCACGGAGGGTCCCCAGGGAATTACGGGGGAGCTGGGACCTCCTGTGGACTGGGGTTGCTGCCTGCCAACCCAGCTCTTACTACATTTAAGCTACAGAGCTGCAGCGGGAGGGTAGCTCCCAGACCTGGCATAAGCTGGGACTGAGGCTTCCTCCTTCATCGACTAATCGTGTAGTCAATAGAAATTCTAATCAGCTACACTATTAGCTAATTATTCGTTTCCTAACATCCCTACATGGGTCTTGAAGCATAAGACTTACATTGGAAATGGGAAACAAGAAAACTGGTGAATTTATGCCATGACTTTTACAGGATATAAAATCAGGATAATTTGCCCCTAAAAGTTTCAGTAAAATTGTGTTGGTTACTATTTCATTTCATTTTTTTAAATGACTATCATGTTAAAACACCCTTAACCCTTTTGAGTTTAGCAAAGTGTCTGTGTTAAACTGCACTAAAGCTAGCCAGGCTGTGTACTGGATCAGATAAAGGCTTTCTTGCTTTGGCTCTTACTTTCAAGGACTTGTATTACCCAGCTTCACTGTGCTGATTGCTAAGTTTTGCTGTTTAATCAATTGTCATTCTAAGCAAAGGTTTGTCAAATATATTCAATTAGATTGCCAAGTACATTGTTAGATCCTCTTTCCGGACTTACTTATTAAGAATCAAGGAAGAGTGTAGAAGGAGGTGCAGAGTCTGGGGCAGGGAGCTGGATGAAGGGAATGAGGTGCCAGCAGCAGCCTCTGGCTGGGAGGCGCTTACCTAGGCTGCTCCCAGCTAGCAGCCCTGCAGAACAGGCAGGCTGGAACTACTGCAAGCAGGGAGACTGCTCAAAGTAGCTGGCTGCTCCCTGTGGCTCTCTGCTCTGGGTACCAGGGTGGAGAAGGGGGGGAAGGGAGGCTTTGCACACACCCCTGGTCCAACACAATTTCTCAGCTTCTGAGGGTCCCAGAAGGGGATACTTGAAAACTGCTATCATGTCCCCTTTCAATCTTCTTTCCAAACCAAACAAGCCCAATTCTTTCATTCTTCCTTCATAGGTCATGTTCTCTAGACCTTTAATCATTCTTGTTGCTCTTCTCTGGACCTTCTCCAGTTTCTCCACATCTTTCTTGAAGTGTGGTGCCCAGAACTGGACACAATACTCCAATTGAGGCCTGATCATTGCAGAGTAAAAAGGAAGAATAACTTCTTGGGTCTTGCTCACAACATTCCGGTTAATGCATCCCAGAATCATATTTGCTTTTTTTAGCAACAGTGTCACACTGTTGACTCATATTTAGCTTGTGGTCCACTATGACCCCAGATCCCTTTCTGCAGTACTCCTTCCTAGACAGTTGCTTCCCCTTCTGTATGTGTGAAACGGATTGTTCCTTCCTAAGTGGAGTACTTTGCATTTGTCCTTATTAAACTTCATCCTATTTACCTTGAACCATTTCTCCAGTTTGTCCAGATAATTTTGAATTATGACCCTATCCTCCAAAGTAGTTGCAACCCCTCCCAGCTTGGTATCATCTGCAAATTTAATAAGCATCCTCTCTATGCTAATATCTAAATTGTTGATGAATATATTGAACAGAACCGGTCCCAAAACAGACCCCTGCGGAACCCTACTTGTTATGCCCTTCCAGCATAATGGTGAACTGTTGATAACTATTCTCTGAGAATGGTTATTCAGCCAGTTATGCACCCACCTTATAGTAGCCCCATCTAAGTTGTATTTGCCTAGTTTATTGATAAGAAGATCATGTGAGACCATTCAAATTGCCTTACTAAAGTCTAGGTATACCACATCCACCACTTCTCCCCTATCCACAAGATTTGTTATCCTGTCAAGGAAAGTGATCAGATTGGTTTGACATGATCTGTTCTTTACAAACCCATGTTACCTATCACCTTATTATCTGCCAGGTGTTTTCAGATGAATTCCTTAATTATTTGCTCCATTATCTGTACTTATCTTTATGTCTATACACCAAGAACCAAATTTTTCTCAGTTTCTGTCAAAACCCAAATATTAGGCAGTAACAACATTTACATTGCCATAAAATATTGTTTAGAACAAGTCTAAGCAACAGCAATATTTTTAACTCTCACAAATTAAAACAACAAGAACATAATGAAAGCATGATAGTCCTTAGGGGTTTTCTGTAAGCTGGACTTAATTTTTAATATGTTGTACAGGATGTGGTAATTAAAGGGCTTTTAATTACTGTATTGTAGAGAATATACCCCGTGGTTTTTCCAAATTGAGTTAAAAAAAAAATCTTGTATACCCCGCACACGAGTATAACCTGTACGGTATACAAGACTTTTCTTTCAAACTGTGCCAGGGTATATTCTTGAAACTGTGGAGATGATTTGAGATACTCCATATTAAATATTTCTAGGGTTTTCATGTATTACTATATTTTTAATTAAATGATGCATTAGAAGACATATTTACAAATTTCAGTATTTCAACTATTGCTTTCAACAAAGAAAGATGATCTGGGATAACTTCTTTCAGTCTAAAAGGAAATCTGCTACAAAGATACATTAGCTGATAATTGGAGAAATCTTTAAAGATGAATTATGAAATCAATGATCACACTTCTTATTGCTACAAACAGTGACGACAACAGGGATATTCATCTTTTTTTTTTTCCAGGGTTTCGCTAATGACGTCTCACCATCCATTTCAGAATCACGTGGAATATCATTGGACTGGAGTTAAATTTTCAGTAATTCATGTGTTGAATGTCCTTCTTATCTGTGCTAATAGAGACACATCAGTAGGGTTTTCATTTTCCAAAAGCCTCTCTCAATGACCCATTTATATACAGCTTCTTTTTGTAGGTAGAGTAAAATTTTCTAATGCTCAGAACAGGGCTTTTTGTGAATTGTAATTTGTCCTAAGTGTATTAAGAAATGTAGACTGAATTTGGTAGATATTCTTTTGGTCAATAAAAATGTAAATAACTGAATTATTATAATACAGATTTGCAATAAAGCTAATTGAAATAATCACAATGAACATTAACATTTATGACATTCTTCCCTTTTGTATTTAAATCATCTAGTATTTGGCTTTTTAGAGTGATCAATCTCTCAGAAGTGACTAAATCCATTATATCTGCAGATAAAACTGAAGCCACAGATGTCAGCTCTCAAATGGTACTAGCACCACCAGCAGCGATGACTACTCAAAAGTGAATGAAAGTTGCACTGTCCACTTGTCAGATCCTGCTGTTACAGGAGAGGCACCAAGCAGGTGGGCACCTTTCAGAAGGTGTCAAGTTAAGATACCTGAGCCAACAATTGTGTTTCAGGCTAGTTTTTCAAGACGTTATGATGTAACAGGTTCCCATGTGCTGAACAGCTAAGCATTAGCCAACATTTCAGCAGGTCAGTTCTAGTGCATGTCAGCAGTAATGTATTTCCAGAGACAGACTGCAAAAGTTAGTACTAAAAGCAACTGTTTAGAAAAGACTTCATATGCACTTTCTGAAAAGAAAAAAAAAACTCACCACCACGTAATCTTGAATTCATAGATTGGACGCTTGCAGTAATAATGGTTTATCAGATGTTTATCACACACACCAATGCACTGATGATCCACAGTAATTCCCCTGTCTGACAGGTCTGTCACGATACAGTGCAGAAGATCATATACATCAGCTACAGCCTCCCAGGGGCCAAAAGATACATCTACTTCACAGTGATGTTCAAACAGTTTAGTCTCGCTTTCACTTCTTTCAAAACGTAGAGAGTTGAAAAGTGGACACTCATATGGGGTGATGGGCATTTCTTCTTTGAAAACACAGATCTTCAACTTTGCAAATCTTGCTTTTCTCTGCATGGCTCTAAGCTTAGCTATTTCAATTATCCGCTCCAAGTGATCTAAACAACAACAAAGTAATAAACCAATGTCATGTGAGGGATAGAACACTATGCTTTACTGTAATGTCAAATCTAACTACTGCATCAAAGCATCATGTGTAACTCTTAATATAATACCAGAGACAACAGAAGATGTATTCCAGGTTGCCTGTAGCTGGAAATGGCCTACAATAATGAAATTCGCCATATTCATATTGAGAGCATAGTATCTATGGTATAGATATGCCTTAAATTCTTGTTAAACACAACCTTATGATTGCAAGTGTTATGGGGACTGCTTGAGCAGTATGCCCAAAATTCAAGTTGTGAATAACCAAAGACTGAGAAAATTCAGATTTTTTGGTCTTGAAGTTAGGTGTGAAGTCACACGAACAGCATTATTTTCTTAAATTCAAAGATGGTCTCATACCGGCTTATTTTAATATCAACAGTGTTCCTGTAAGATCTCTAGGTAAAGCTATTAGATGCATACACAGAACAATGCAACACACAGCAATTTTGCTATTGTCTCAGGAAAAATGATGGTGTTACCTGTAAGCTCTTTGAGACAGGAGTCTGTTTATTGTATGTCTGGAGAATGTAACTATCCAAAACCAAAACCAAAATTTGAGTCTTGGAAATGGAAGTTAGGAATCTAAATATGTTTCAGGATTTGAGTGAACAGGAATAGTGGAGCTGCAGAACTTTCTTCCTGTTCATGAAAAAAACCTTTCCATATTTACCTCAGAACATGTAACACTATTAGAAAGTGAACTCAGTCTTTTGAGAATTATTTATACTACATACACCAAGCTACAATCTACATAGTCACTCTTGTTTATTTACCTTTGTAATATGGCATTAAGCCCAGGAAAGCTTGTCTAACTTTTTCTCCTTTAAGAGGCTGGACTTCCTCTAGATTGTCCAGCAATGGTCCTATGGAATAATATTGAGCTTCCTTGTAAACTAACCTCACTCGGTCTCTCGGTGGGAGATCACCAGATCGCAGAAAGTTAAGTATGTCTCTAAACAGAAGGGGGGAAAATATTATTCAGTAACAACTCTTCCAAAACTTTGAGGAAAAAATAACTTGATTATTAAATCTGACATAAAATGGAGACACCATTTTACTCAGTCCAGCAATCCTCAAGCGCAGAAGGTAAGAATGGTCTCTCATTTTTACATAAACTGTGAACTCTATTTTCAAATGCATGTTTTGAGTTACATTTGGCATTTTTGAGCTTCTGGCTGGAAAATGTAATGTCTGTGAAACTAGCAGTGTGGGACTCCAGTTTAAAAATAGAGCAAACTAAACATTCATGATGCTTTAATCTCATAAACCAATTACAGACACAGAGTATAGTCTCCCACTGTTAACAGTAATTGTATTCATTAAGTTCCCAATTTTGCTGAAGAACTATGTTGGCAGACTCTTCTGCCCACTAAATATCTCACGGACATTAAAAAAGCTCCAGGCAGGTGGATAGTATCGGGTGGTGGAGTTGTTTTTACAGGAGCAGGGGCCTTCTCCAATTAGTTTAACAATACAATGAGTGTTTCATTAGAATACGTTTAACAATGGCTTAGATAAGAATGCTCTGAAGATGGAAAAACCACTTTAGAAACATTAACTATTAGTGAACATATGGACCTGAAAACAACAACAGTTGGCCCTTCTTTATAATATTTCAGGAAATATATAAAGCGCTGGCTTAGTTCTTCAGTATATCCATAGTTTGAATACATACTGCTAATATTACTATTTGTTTAGTTTCTAATACGAGAGTTCCCATCAGTAAGAAGCTCACAAATGCCAACATTTGTTTTCAAATAAACAAATCAGTTCAATCATAGTAGGAAATTCTGTCTTTATATATTTTGGACTTTGTCACGGATTTAAGGAACAGCACTTATTGGCTTTGAAGAGAATTAGGTCCTCCTCAACAGGATAGAGATAGATGAAGAACATCCCTCTGTGGGATAATATTTTGGAAATGAGGTTAGAATGCCCAACATATATTTCTACATGCACAGGTCTGACCCTGAAAACACTCTTTGGAGCAGCAATGACTGCCAACAAGTGGGACTAAACATGAGCACAATCACACTCAACGGCTACGTCTACACTGGCATGAATTTCCGGAACTGCTTAAAACGGAAAAGCATCCATGGCCAATGTAGACGCACTTTTCCGGAAAAGAGCCCCGAGCGTCATTTTCGCGATCAGGGCTTTTTTCCGGAAAAGACTACTGGGCTGTCTACACTGGCCCTTTTCCGGAACAGTATTCTGCAATAAGGACTTATGCCCGAGCGGGAGCAGAATAGTTTTTCCGGAATAGCGGCTGATTTTGTACAGTAGAACATCGTTGCTTTTCCGGAAATTCAAGGGCCAGTGTAGACAGCTCGCAGCTTATTCCGGAAAAGCGGCTGATTTTCCGGAATAAGTGGCCCAGTGTAGACACAGCCAACATAAATAATTAGTAAAATTGTTTTGTTTGAGGCCACTGTCTTGTTTGAGACCTTTAGAAGGATGATAACAGAGCTCTGAATATAGCACTGCCACACATCAACAATTTAAAAGAAGTTCTTTGACCTCTTTGTTGTTTTCCCACTTATAATATGTGAACAGGCCTTTTAAAAATATATATACAGACTGAACCTCTCTACTTCGCACCCTCGGGACCTGACGGGCTGAACCGATGAGAGTTTGCTGGACCACAGGAGATCAATATTGTCTAGCAGCATTATCAACATTTCCATTGCTGAATGGGCTCTTAGAAGACATTCAGGGGTAAATCAGAGCTAAATAACAGCAGAGAACACAGAGCCAGGACTGGTGACTGGAAACAGACTTTATGGGACTGCGGGAAACTTGGCCACATGCATGATAAGCAGACATCCGACTCACTAAAATCATGCTGGACCACAGATGGTGCCAGGACAGAGACTGTCCGTCTAGAAAGGTTCAACCTGTATTATGCTTTGCCTTCACACTTGTCATAGGAGTAGATGATCCACATGCAAAACAAAGATCAATCCAACTATATTTTGCAGAATTTGTAAGAAAGTGAAAATCCCTGAAAGGCAAACATTTTACTCTAATCGTCAGCTTTCTGAAGTGTGTTATAATTAAAGATGGGACAAATGTCTAACAAAAAATTCTTTCAGATAAAAAACTTACAGATTTTATGTGGATGAATATGTGCAGACTTGAACCAGTGTCATACATTTCACTAGCATATAGTGTTAATCTATCCACCTGAATTTATACATACCTGAAATACAGGCAAATAAAAAATACAGACAACAAAAAAAGAGCAAAAGTTTTAAAAAGTAAAAAATTGCAATGTTATCCAAAATTATTTCCCTCTAGGAATTATAGATGATTAATAGGGCAGAGTATTTTACACAGAAGTCAAGCTTGTAAATTAGATAACTCGTTTTATGTTTTTTTTTTCTTAATAGCATTGTTATAGTATAAACTTGGACCATATCCACAAATATTCCATTAAACGTTTAAAAACTAACAACCAAAAGAAGATTTTATGAAATATCCTAGGAATATCACTGCCATGCCTTTTTAGGATAAAAGCTACAAAAGATAATGTGACCAAAAATAACAAGAGACCACAATTATTTTGTTATCAGGAATGGTGTCAAACACTCAACTTTTTAAAGTTACGAGCAACTTGTCTCGCTGGATGGAGCTATTGTGTGTATTTGAATGTTCACACACACATTCCCCTCAATTTTGCTGAGGACCAAAAACCCACGGGGGAGGGGTGTAGGCGGGGGTGGGAGGCGGCAGAGGGGTGTGTGTGTGTGTGTGTGTGTGTGTGTGTAAGTAAGTAAGTAAAATGAGTTATGATATTAGTGTTTTTGGCATTGCAATGTACCGAGAAGTTTGACAGTCTTCTGGGGGGAGTTATAAAAACTGTAGTTGCAGGTTAATCTCACAGATAAAAGATGCAATTCACATGGGCTTGAATGAGAAAATTGCAAATGAATTCTTGCCTCTCTTAAACCTAATGTTGCCTACCACAGTAACAGATTCAAAATTAGAGCAGCAAGGACAATGCACATACCCAAAGTAAGTTCCATCTCTGTCAATAAAATATCTGCCTTGAGCATCTGTTGGAATGTAGTGTCTTCCACTAAACATAGCAGCCAACATGGTGTCTTCATAGCGTTGTAGTGTTGACAGTCTGGTAGTAAAATACATGCCTCCTACATTAAGCGGAACAACTTCTGGGAACTGCAAAAGCAATCATATCACTATTTAAAAGTTAGTCTGTGATGTCTCACAGACATGTATATGACAAGGTCCCTTGGCTCACAGAGAATCTCTATAAAACACAGGATAAGATTACAGACCGAAGATGACACAAGGACTTGGTCTGCAGGGAGATCAAAGTCTGAAGGTTTCATAAAGAGTGGAGGAACATGGAGAGGGAGATCTTCTGACACAAAGAAGACTGTTCCAAGCAAAGAGTGGCTGCATTAAAGCCAATAACCCAAGAGCGAAACAAGGTAACGAAGGAAGAAGTTTAGAGAAAGAAATGGGTAATAATTTTTGGCAGATATAGGTGGAAGAAGAATTGTACTGAGTTTAAAGGGTCAGAATTACTGATCTTTATAACAGGCCAGCGTGTCTAGTATAAAAGACAGCAGATAAATCCTAATGTGGATAAGGGAAGGATATGGGTTTCAAGAGTAGTACTCCTCATTATCAAGCACAAAGGAGTTAGTTTCATTCAGCAAGCTAATTGGCAATGGAAACTAAACTAGAAATTTGTAAGACTTCAGCATGAGGAATAATGGATTCCCTGATACTATGCTATGGTGCTCAAATGTAAGCACCTCCCCAGCTCAGAGGAGAACCGTCTTACACCACCCTTACCTGCTGAGGCAGCAGAGGCAGCGAGTGCCCTGCCTGAGTTGCAGTCGGAGTGGCAGGGTCTTGGAAATCATCCTCTGTATCTGAACTCGACATGGCATTGTCCAGATTTCCACTGGCTTGCTTCTGCCCTGTGACTACCACCATCCCTCTGGCTTTTGTAACCAGGTCTGCTGGGCAGGCAGCCGTGGCAATGCTAAGACACAAGACCCAAGTTATGTGGATACTTTTCCTACCAGCTGCACCCTACCAGCTGCAGAGGAGCACAGGGCTGACAGACATAATTGTCCTGTTTTGCACAAGTAATTCATGACATGCTTATTATTGGGAAGTGAATCATAATAAGGATGATGATTATTGTGCTGTGAGTCGAGCTCATAGACACACACACCTCTGGAGGAATGTAGCCTGCCCAGCCGTGCCAGGAAATCTCCTTGTCAAACTCGGGAGCAGGAGAATCCCTGTCACTTAGGGAATGAAATGTCGATTTTCATTGGCTGCCCAATGCAGGATCTGATTGGCTTACTCCTTTTTCAGAAGCAGAGCTGTCATTTCCCAACTGAATTCCAAATAGCTACTGGCTCACCTGCTGCTAAATTACAATTGGCTGTTTGCAGAGTTGTGTTCTGAAAGCTGTTCTCTTATTGGTTGGAATGCACTGTATTAACCAAGCTATTGTTTACAATATTGCTGTCAAGTCATTTAATCATCTTGCATCTTTCAAAGCAGTTTTTGCTCAGCTGTGTGTTAGTGCAGTAGCTTCAGATGCTTACAGAAGCCTTTTCTTGACATTGTGATTTACTGGAAGACTTTGGTACCAACTCTCATACAATCTTAACCTCCTAAAAACAAGCTAAAATTTAGCATTCGAAACACAAACATGTTGAAGGTTTTCTGTGAATTGAGTCTCATGCAGCTGTGGATTTAGACTAATACAGCATGATGCGGATAGTAAAGGCTCATCTTATGTAGCAGAAAAGCAAGGCCATCCAGGTGGAAATATTGCATTTTCTTCTGTGCAGTTGTGGGGGGAATTAGTAAGGGCACAACTGAATCCTCCTCCATTCTCTACACTTTGTTTCCCCCCTGTAGTCTTTTGCTCCTCTAAAGACTTGTGTACATACGGCAAGTGGAAAAACATTACAGCTCAAAACTTTTTAGGCTTCTATTGGTGCACTAAACACGTCTGTGTTATCCTAATCTTTGTGATGGTCTCACTTAAAGTTTGCAGCTGGTTTTGACACTGTTATTATTCCGGGCCAGTTACTGGTATTTTGTAGTAGATGGGACTGCTCAAAGCAACAAGCATCACTCCAAGATTAGGACCTTTACTTACAGCTTTTAACTTTTTCCTCACAGTGGCATTTTAGCCTCATTCCTAGCACATCCACAGACAGTCCCCTCATTCCTCCAGCCTGGGAACTGAATTCCCTTCAAAGCTATCGACATTGCTCCTCAGGCTGACCGAGAGGAATGCACAGAAACTCGGTTGTTTTTAGTATAACCAACCCGTGAACTGTGTCATTAAACAGTATTTAGTTCCATTTCACAGGAAAACAGGCTACCTACTGCCTCTTCCACAACCACCCAGCTTTTTGGAACGAGATATAATCTGCTTCTGCTCCACATTCCCAACCTTTTTGGTTGCGGGAGTATGAGTTTCTGGCGTCTTTACTCCAGTTTCACGTCCCATCTGCAGAATTCCTTCAGCACCTAGTTCTTCAAGTGTCTCTTGTTTTTAAGTTTCTACATTAACAGCGATTTCCCTCCTGTGCCGCGTGCCCAGCGGTGGGGCTACCCATACGCCATGTGCCGGAACAGCCCATGTGCCGCATGCCCGGGGGCGGGGCCGCCACCGCTTGTGTGCTGCATGTCTGGGCCCGGCGCCGCTCCTGTACTGCGCGCCCAGGAGCCAGCACCACCCATATGCTGCATGTCTGGGACCAGCACAGCCCTTGCACCAGGCACCCGGGGGCGGGGCCGCCCATACGCCGCGCGCCCAGGGGGCTGGGCCGGCCCTGTTCACTTGGTGGGCAGGCACCGCGTTGGAACCACTGCACTACAACATTTATATGGACCCATAATTGTGGAGTGTGAGCACCTCAAAATCTTTTCTGTGTGTATCCTCGTGACATGCCTGTGAGGTAGGGCAGTGCTATTGTCCCCATCATATAGAGGGGGAACTGAGTGTCTGAGAAGATAAGTGACTTGACCAAGCTCATAGAGAAACTCTGTGGCAGAAAAGGAAATTGCAGGTAGGTCTCCCAAGTTAGCGTCCTAACTACTGAAACATTATTTCTGTCCTTGTGCTTTAACTGCCATCTAATGGCTACTTAGCAGGCTATGTGAAGGGAGTTTGATGGTCGGACTCCTGATCCAGGTGGGATCCCATCAGATGCTATACTGGTGGATAGTGTCAGAACCCACACAGAACAGAATCTAAACATTAAAAAATATCGCCAAAACTAGCAATCGTTGTGGCAGTCTCTGTAGAAAGGCTGTCCCAGTATATTAGATGGCAATGTGGGTGAGGTACGTTCTTTACTAGATCAATTAGTGCTGGTGGATGAGAGAAACTTTTGAGCTTACACAAAAGTTCTCCAAGTCCGTGAAGACACTCAGCATGTCACAGCTAAATACAAAGGTGGAACGGATCATGAGTTAACATGCAGTTAACATTAGGGAGTGAGGATTTTACAGGTATAAACAAAAAACTGGCCCATAAAAGCTCATCACCTAATAAACCATCTTGTTAGTGTTTAAAGTGCTGCATAGTCCTGTTTTTTGTTTCAGCAAGACCAGACTAACACGGCTACATCTCTATTACTATTTTACGGGCATAGGTACTGAACTACCTTTTGAGGATGAGTCTATGCACCCAGCTCAGGTTTGAATGGTGTAGAAAAAACTGCCATTGCTGCCTCACATGCTGTGTTTGTCCTGCAAGTGCAGAACTGCAGTCTCCACCAGCTGCTAGTCCAATATCTTTCAGTGGCACTCACTTCCATTAATTCCCAACCCCATAAAAGGGTGTTTTTTTTAAAAGACTGAACAAAAATCAGAGTGTAGCTTATAAGAGCAACAGTGCCTTTCCAATAGAAACTGTGAAAAAAGACAATTAAAAAAAAGTGCTTCATGAAGCAAGAAACTGGCCTCTATTTCTTCTGAAAAGGAAAAAAAAATGCTGCCAGCTGATATATTGCAAGCAGAATGGACTGCTAACCAGCCCCAAAATAAAAATAAATTATTCATGATGGAAAACAGCGATCTAACAGGAGATGGTATTTTCCATTAATAAAACTCAATTTTTAGCTTTGGAATGGCACTTTGTGCCAAAGATATTTTGACGTGAATGCTCTAGCTATATAACCACGAAGAATTCCCTTCTCTGTTACTCCAAAAGCAACACAGAATATTTTGCATGTGCATGCCACTGAGGATGTTAATCACTCATTTTTAGCACAAAAGGAGGGGGGAAATACCTTAAAAGGCTCTTAGCTATTATTTTCATACTAGCCAATTAGCCCGTCATAAGACGGGATTTTCAGGTCTTCTCTCCTGAACACACACACTCTCTCTCTCTCTCTCTCTTCCTACTGCCTCCCCCCCCCTCCGTCTCTTTCTTTCTCTTCTCCCCTCCTGCCTCTCTCTCTCCATTTCTCTTCTCCTCCTGCCTCTCTCCCCCCTCCACCTCTCCCCTTCCCCACCGCCGTGGCGCTTGGCTGAGTGCTGTGCACAT